ACTGTGACAGACTCCTCTGCTGCACTCTGTCTCTACACAAGTTCAAAGCCGGGCTCCACTGTTTGCACCTATGTGACCCTCCAAGCAACATGACATCTCTATGCCTCTGTCAAATAGGAGCCGCCTTACAAACTGCATGGGAAAATGTCCGCTCCAGGGACAGGGCATTTCCTACCTATTACCATTACCCTTCCCTGAGCAAACTTTTCTCCAGGATCCCCTTCCTAGCCAGTGAACTAGGCGCTGGGGGCACGGGGACACTGAGAAACTTGACAAGCTGCAGGAGGCCCTGTGTGAGTCCCCTTTTCCCACCTCTCTAAGACCCTACTCTTCTAGTGGGGGACATCTGAGGGTGAGGGTGGAGCAGCCAGGGCCAGCTCCATGGGCTGAAGTAGGCAGTGACTGACTCCCTGCTGGAGAAGCTAGGGCCCTGAGGCCTCTTCCAGTCTGGATCCCTCAGCCCCCTAACCTGCCAAGACCTGTCTTTCCTGTTTCCTCTCTGGGCCTTCCAAGACAACAAATCCCTGATCTCACAAGCAGATGGGAGGGCAGAGATGGGCCAGCCAGAGGACAAGGGGCCAGGGGAGTAGAAGAGTCCTGGTCAAAGAGGCAGACTCTGCAGGTGGATGGGCAGGATGCAGGCTAGATGGGCAGACAGGAGACATTCCAGCCACGAAGAAGAAACAAGTTGGCCGCACGCACAGAACTATGGGTGGCAGAGGCAGGCAGCCGGCCACTGTGGACAGCCATCTCAGCCAAGGGCTTTCGGTACCTTCTCCAGAACTTTGAATAGCTCTCTACTTCTCAGAGTCATCAGGGCCACCATGCCACTTCGTGATTAACCACTGTGGAAGGTAGAGCATCCCAGCAGTGTGCATCCCTCTGCAGGGTCCAGCAACCATTTCAACACTCCCTTTGTTCCAGCACAGCCTGTTTCCCCAAGGCTGAGTCACATCTAACCCAGATAGGGACACACAGATCTGCTAGGCACAGTGATGCAGACCACTTTGCAGAAGTCTACCTCAAACCTCACACCCTATTCATATGGACCCTCACAGAGAAGAGGTGTGTGCCCACAAACTTAGGTATGGACTATTGTACAAGCTAAGCTGCAGCACACACTAACATGTACGTGGTTGGCAGACCATGGTGTTCAATACATTCCCAACACTAGCTACTCTCTATGTGTCCAACCAGCCAGTCACACACATGCCTTAGAGAAGCAGAGATGAGCCCATGGTCATCCACGGGCATCACTGACGATACTGAAATGTTGCCCCAGCCTGGGTATTGATTCTGGTCCTAACTCTACCTCTCAGCCCCATATAACCCAAAGGGTCACATCCTTGCTCATGCCTGGTTTTTCTCCAACCTCTCTGGTTTGCTGTTGAGGATTCTTCCTCCAGAAGACCCCTCAATGTCAGTGTTCAGGGCTCAGGCCCCAGAAAGACTCCCTCCTCCCTGTTCTCTTGAACTGGGTGACCCACCTATTCCCAGGATGCTACTCATATGGTCTCTCCTTGCTGGAAATGGTATTTGGGGGCTGGGGCTATCCCTGCCTCTCTAACACCCACACCCAGGGATCTAGTGGGTATCATGAATCTGGAATCTAAAATCCAACTCTCACCTCTTGTGCCCTGGGAGAAAAATAAACAAACAAACAAACAAACAACGTGCTGCCCCCAAGACTTTCTTCTTCGGTTGCACAGCCCAAGATCAAGGCTAAATTCCTCTTCACTCAACACCACCTCCACAAAGGAACTCCCTTCAGGACACAGCCTGCCTTCCCCTCCTTCTGGTTAAGCCCCAATACCTGCCAGGCTGCTCCCCGTCTTTTCTGCCTCCATTCCTGACCTGCTGTGGCCTAGCCTACCTTGAGCCAATTCGGAAGTCTTTCCAAAGTGTGGAGTGGTTATGACACTCCCTTACTTAAGAGCCCAGGGGCTTATCAATTCACTCACAATGACACCCAAGCTCCTGAGCGATCTGTGAAAGCTCCTGTGACTGTGAAAGCTCCTGCGTGGTCTCACACCAGCCACCCTCCTCTATGCCCTTGCACCACGCATGCTAGCTCTCTGCAAGCCAGGAACGCTGCCACTCATGCTCCTGTCCCTTGTTCCTGCCTAGACACTCTCCCCCGATCTTGTCATGGGTGCTTTCTCCTCAGGACTCAGCTCTTACCTGGGGTGTTCCTGTAAGAGCTGCCCAAGATGTTCCCCATCGCATTAATGAACTCCACCACCTCCTCAGCCGCTCACTGCCTCAAAGGGCTTATAACCTCTTTATTCTGAATCTCCATTCTTAGGAGGGGCCAGGCATCTACGAAGGGGGGGCGGGGCTGTTCTCATCCCACACTGAAACGCTGAAGCAGCATTATAGGCAAAAAGGTAAGTACACATGAGCCAAGAGGCCTCTCTATGCTCACAGAGCAGACTAAACACTCACAAATACACCCAGGTGCGGGGCAGCTCACTCCTTTCTCCATCTCCTCTTGCCCCCTACTTGAACCCAGGCTGGCCTGGGGGAGTCCGGGAGTGGGGTCCTGCAGCTTGGACAGGGAGGGGGTTAATGGCCCTCAGGCCTCAGGCAGCGCCTACAGCTATGCCTGCAATTTCCTCTCCTCATTCTTTCCCTCCTCCTTCCCAAGATTCCCGCCAAGAAGGCCTCCCCCTCACCCAGCATAGGGAGGGGAAGTGGGGGGTGGGTGGGGGGTGGCCAGACGACTAGGCAGAGAGAAGAGGCCAGCTGCAGATCCCCCGGCACACTTCTGTAGAAGCCTTGAGCCCAGGTGGAAGCACACGTGTGAGTCTGGGCAGGTCCAGCGGGCCAGGCAGCTAAGACGTCCCCTGCACTTGCAGAGGCAGGGCCCCGCTGGGGTCTGCAGTGTGCTGGGCCTGGCTCACCGCCGAACCCTACAATCATTAACCTTGGGTGACCACAGCAGCTGGACACACTCAGCCAGGCCACTGGGAGGAGGGGCTGAGAGAGCCTCTCTCCCAGGAGGGCCAATGAGGACGTGGGGGTGCCGGCTGACTCCACGGGGGGCTAGGAAAGGGCCGGAGGGACGAAGGGGTTTGGGCCCGCCCCATCACAGGAGGAGCCAGGGACGGGGGAAGTAGTGTGGAGCCTGCGCCCTACGGCCAGAGGGTTGTCGGTTCAAGTCCTGCCCATGTGGCAAAGGTCTTCAAGATCTTTATGACTCAGTTAACTTCAGCTGGAGATTTAATGACAACCACATTCTGGGGTTGGTAGGTTTAAAAGAGGAACGTCTCGGGGGGAAGGAGGGTACCTCCGGCGCCCAGGCCTTAGGGATGTTTAGTAACTAATGATGTTGTTGTTAGTACTGGCGGGGGCGGCCCCCGTGAGCGGCCTCCCCAGCGGCTTCCTGTAGGGGAGCAGGGGCCGCCCCCTCTCCCCTTCCTCCAGGCGCTCTTCCTCCCGCCTCTCCTCCCCGCCCCGCCCCGTCCCTCCTCTTTCCTCAGAGGAAACTTTCCGCCGGCTGGTCCATCGGCGTGTCCGGCCGGGCGCACCACGGTGCGAACCGAGTAAGGCGGACGGGGCGGCCCCGCCCGGGTGTATGCAGCCACCGGGGAGACGCAACTGCCGGGGGCAGGCAGCGGGACGCTGACGGGTGAGCGAGCAGGGCCGAGGCCCCCTGGGCGGAGGGGTGCAGGAGGGAGGCGGCAGGGGAGCCCGAGGGGGCACCGCCTCGTCCTTCCGTGCGCTGGGCCTCTCCTGGGGACCCCCACGAGGGGGCGGAGCGTGTGCGGCCTCTCCGCCGCTCCCCGGGATGAAGGGGCGTCTGCAGGGGAGCAAGGACTCTTAAGCAGAGCCCCGATCTGCGACCAAATGAGGGGAACTGCTCTCCCCCAGGGTGGAGCTGCCCGAGGAGGAGTGAGCGCCCTGGGCCCTGGAGGACCTGACCTGGCTGACCTCCCAGGCCGACAGGCGAGCTGAGCCCCAGCACCATGGATGCCCCGAGGAAGGACATGGAGCTACTCAGCAACAGCCTGGCGGCCTATGCACACATCCGAGGTGAGGGCCAGGCCTGGGAGCGCGGAGCCCGTCCATCATAACCCAGGCAGCCCTCCACTCCCAGATGCTCACCCTCAGTGCATCCCCAGATGCCTGTCCTCTGCTGCCCTTCCGTTCTGTGCCCCAAGCTTAGACCCTGGATCTCTCCCAGATGGGACGACTCCAGCTTGTCAGGCCCCCTCTCTGACCTTCGCTCCCTGCTTCCTAGCTAACCCTGAGAGCTTCGGCCTCTACTTCGTGCTGGGCGTCTGCTTCGGCCTGCTGCTGACCTTGTGCCTGCTAGTCATCAGCATCTCCTGTGCGCCTCGCTCGAGGCCCCGGGGCCCTGCTCTGCGCCGGGACCCTCGCGGCAGCACCCTAGAGCCGGAGGATGAGGATGACGAGGATGAGGACACCGTGACGAGGCTGGGCCCCGATGACACACTCCCGGGCCAGGAGCTCTCTACCGAGCCCGACGGGCCCCTTAGTGTCAATGTCTTCACGTCAGCTGAAGAGCTGGAGCGCGCACAGCGGCTGGAGGAACGTGAGCGAATCCTGCGGGAGATCTGGCGCACCGGGCAGCCAGATCTGCTGGGCACCGGCACGCTCGGGCCCGGAGCCTCGGCCACAGGCACGCTGGGCCGCATGCACTATTATTGACACACGACCCCACAGCATGGGTCCCTGCGTACTGGACATGGGACTGAACCCAGTGCTGCCCCAGGGCCTTCAAACTGCCTCTGCCCTGATTCTCCTGGTGCTATTGAGCGTGAATCGCCGCCTGCTAAGCACTCTTCACTGGGCAGGTGTGGGTGGGAAAAGAATGCCAGGTCCCACCTTCTCCTCCTGGTAATAATGAATGACCAATGAAAGCTAGTCTCAGTGACTCAGTCTCTCATTCAGCAGGCCCCCCGGGCTCCAGCCTTGCAGGGGAGTCCCAGGGATGTGGGTCTCACTGCTTTTGCTAGTTGCATCCCCTCTGGGTGTGCATCCGGTGCATGCTTGTGCTCACCTCACAGACCAGAGAACCAGACCGAGACACGCCTCTTGCAACTGAACACGGGACAGGTATTACAGGCATTCCTCACAAATTCCTTACTAGCCAGCAGCGCTTGGACAGATGTCACCTAGTCCCCTGCCCTATGACCTGGCCTGGGATGTCACTGCAGTCACACAGGGAAGCCTAAGGCTCAGACCTTGATACTAATTCTCTTAGACTTAGTGCCTGAGCGAAGCCTGGAGTTCGCTTCTGGGCCGAATATCATTCCAAGTGAGTGGACACAGGAGTTCCTTTGGGCAGAGGCTAACTGGGAGGAGCTGGGCCCAGAGAAGGCTGGCTCCACCCCTCTAGCGCACAGCTGGGTTCCTGAATCCAGGAGGGTCTGGGCCCCTCCACCCTGCATCCAGCACAGGGCCAGCGTCCGAAGGAGACTACCCCCGCCCCCAGCCATCCGGTGGATAAAAATAGCCTTGCATAGGCCTTGAGAATGGTAATGGGAGCCACATGTTGGCCAGATGTGCCCAAGAGAGAGCGCCAGGAATGCGGAGGGCGGTGTGCTGACTGGCGGCCCCGCCTCACACGGACCAGGCTGGTCTAAGAGTTCAGAGTTTTTACTTCCTTGGAGTTTCTCAAAGCTTTGTGCAAGGACAGGGGTGGCCCGAGCAGGATGGATGTCCCCTCCAGGTCGGGCTGAGGTTCTGCCTGAGCCCGCCCTCATTCTGTCTGTGTCTGAGCGTGTTTGAAGGACTTCTGGGTCCTCTGCGGCGTTGTCTGAACCTAGTCGGGAGAGGGCATGAGGGACCAGAGCCACTCACTGGCTACTGCCCTCCCCCGCCTGGGTCCGCATTTCACCCACCTCCAGCGACTGGAGCTTCTCCCTCTGGGTCTTCAGCTCCTCCCAGACATCACTCAACTTCTGTCTGTGGATACCAGGTTCAGGTGAGACACTGGACCCTTCCCGTTGTCCCCCGCCCCACCCCACTCTGCATTACTGCCCACTTACTCCATCTTCAACTCCAGACGCTCCAGCGCGTTCTTTAGCGACCCCACCTCTTTCTTTAACGATGTTACATCTGTATCATCATTCTTGCTTTTGGAAGAAGTTAGTGAGACCACGGGATGAAGCGTGGGAGCTTCTTCAGGGTCCGGAATCTGCTTGATAATATGTGGCACTTGGGGAGTGGGGACTGACTCTTTCGGGGGCACCTGCTTTTGGGGACCCACCCCTTCAGAAGGCGGCTCTTTGGGGAGTGTCTCTTTCAGGGTCGTCTCATCTTTGCCTGGTAGTCCCTCCGGAAAGGTGGCTTCTTCCTCCACGGCAGACTCATCCTTAGCCCTGGAGTGGGCTAGGGAGCTGTCCCCGTGTTTCATCATACAGCATCTAGACAGTTGAGGGTGCTCTCCTGGCACCTGGATGTCATTTGGAGGTGCAAGGGACTCGGACCCCTCTGTGGTTTCTTCTTGAGGCAAATGCTGGCACTGAGTGTTGTCCCTAGAAGGGTCCTCTTCAAAAAGCATGTGCTCTGGGGTCAAGATCTTTACCAGTGCAGGGGTACTGTCCGCATGAAGGGCCACCTTTGGGTCAACGGTTTCATCCTTAGCTGGGGCTTCTAGAGCAGGAGCCTCATCCACAGAAAGGGCACTCCCTGTACTGGCAGCCTTGTCTACAGTGGTATTCTCTGCAGTGGGAATTTTGTCAGAATCCAGGGCTTTCTCTGGAACAGGGTTCTCTGGAGTGGAGACTTTGTTGGGAGCCAGGATCTTCTCTGGGCCAAGGGTCTTATCTGGAGTGCGGGTTTTATTTGTGGAGGGGGCCTTTCCCGGGCTTCTCTGGTCATCCTCCTGTGGTGATGGTAGGGATGAGGTCTCAGTTGGCAGGTGGATTCCTTAAAGGAGCTTCCTTGTTCCCCTTGGGATCTTTCACCTTTACACAACACACCTCCTCCCAGGAATCCCTTCTCCCATATATCCGGCCCCTCACCTGATTGAATACAGAATGCTTTTGGGAAGTCTGGGTTCTGGATCGCTTTCTCCCTGGTTGCCTGGGTCCCCCATTGAGGAAGCTGCCATTGAAGCCTATGAGAGCAGAACTTCAGAGACCCAAGCTCATCCACCCCTGTCCCTCAACACATCCCTGTCTTCTCCACTGTAGGAAGGGAGCCCTTACCGGTGTCTCGGGAGGGGCGTTTCTGGCTGTCCCCACTGGGTGTAGATGTCCTGGAACATATCTCCATCAGCAACACAAGACGGGGTGGAAAGGGTTTCTCCTCTGTACCGCCCTCCTCCCTGGTACCCCCACCTCCTTACTTGGTTTTGTTAGGTGCCGAGGCAGCTGCTGCCACCCTCTTGACAGAGGGTAAGGATGTTTTGGGCATCAGCTTTTTTGGTTCCTTAATAGGAGCTGGGAGGAGAGAGAGGAGTAATGTCCATCTGCCTAAGTCCTTGGTCATGTAGGTCTTGTGCTGTGCACAGAAGCCTGATGGGAGATGAATTCCATCTGACTTTGGGGGATTACCTTGGGCTTAGGGAACTATGGAACACCCCACTGTGTAGCACCCCAAAGGAACACAGCAGATATGTATCAGGGAAGGCTTTGTGGGGGAGATTCTATCCTGCCAGGTTTTGATCTGCTCTTTGAAGACCTGTCCCCTGCTTGGTGCCCATAACAAGTTCTCTCTCTGGTTCAGCCTTCATTTCTTGTTAACCTCCCCCCCCTACACACACACCTTTTTTTCCCCAAGACAGAGTCTTACTTTGTAGCTCTGGCTGTCCTAGAACTCACTATGTAGACCAGGGTGGCCTTGACATGCAGAGACCTGCCTCTGCCCCCCCAAGTGCCAGGACTAAAGGCGCTCCACTATACCCAGCTTTAATTTCCCCTTTCTAATCTCACTGACTTCTATTACTGTCTCACACCTTTTATGTGACCTCACCCAGTCTTCAGGGTTTAATCATCATCAATAAACCGATGATGCCCAAATCTCCATCTCTGGGACCACTGTGAACTCTCAGTCATGGCCAGCTGCCCTGTCACCAAGGTCATGAGCTCAAAGGATGAAGAGATTACACAGAGACTAGGTCGCAAAAAAACAGTTCAGCCCCTACAACATGGTATCTAGATACAAGTTCCTGTTTCCCATACCCCAGCCCGAGCCTTCCTCGTTTCTATTCTCATGATAAGGCTGTGAGGAACTGGCTTTGATTTTTGCTTTGTTTTGTTTGTTTTTTGAGACAGGGTTTCTCTGTGTAGCCCTGGCTGTCCTGGAACTCACTCTGTAGACCAGGCTGCCCTAGAACTCACAGAGACCAACCTGCCTCTGCATCCTGAGTGCTGGGATGAAAGGTGTGTGTACTGCACCCACTAAGAACAGAAACACATTCTGAAACAGGGTCTTACTATTTATTGTTACCCAGGCTGGGCTCAAGTGATCTTCCTGATACCTACAAGTAGCTAGAAATATAAGTATAACCAGGACAGCCAGCAATAGTATAAATTTTTCATTTTTTGTTGTTATTCTGTTTCTGTCTTTTGAGACAAGGTTTCTCTGTATAGTTCTGGCTATGCTGGAACTCAAAAAAAAATTTTTTTTTTGAGACAAGGTTTCTCTGTGTAACAGCCCCTGGCTGTTCTCAAACTCCGTAGACCAGGCTGGCCTTGAACTTACAGAGACCCACCTGCCTCTTCCTCCTGAGTGCAGGGATTAAAGGTATATGACACCACCTCCCAGCACAATTTTTAATTTTTAAGTAAACCTTCTAAATATCTGTGTGTGCTTATGTACATACAGGTGTGTAGGGCTGAGGCCAACTGAGTGCAGGGAGTCATTCCTCTCCTACCCTGTGAGTATCCGGGATCAAACTCAAGGTCACCGGGCTTGAGGCCTTTACCTGCTGAGCCACCTCCCCAGCCCTCCAGTCTACAGTCTTAAATGCAGTGATCTGGATGTCACGGTGCATGCCAGAATCCCAGCCTCCTCCAGGACGTGGCGTTAGTGAGAATGCTGGGCGTTCAAGGCCAGCCTGGGCTATGTTGTAACACCTTGTCTAAAAAATATATATATGTAAAAAAAAAAATCTCAACAGCCAGGCGCACACCTTTAATCCCAGCACTCGGGAGGCAGAGGCAGGCAGATCTCTGTGAGTTCGAGACCAGCCTGGTCTACAGAGTGAGTTCCAGGACAGCCAGGGCTACACAGAGAAACCCTGTCTTGGGGGAAAAAAAAAAAAGTAGACAAATGGAGCCCTGAGGCTGGAAAGTGTCACCCTAGTGTTATTTCTGTGGCTGTGACAATGTCTTGATAAAGGCAACATCGGGAGGAAGGGGTTTGTCCAGCTTCCAGGTTAGTTTATTACTGTGAGGAAGTCAAAGCAGGAAACTTCAGATCTGCAGACAAGAGCAGAGAGAGAATAAATACACAGATCCTTCCTTCCCCGCTTGCTGTCTCTCTGCCAGCTTTCTCCTCTAAGGCAGCTCTGGACTCCCTGCCTCGGAACAGCATGACCCACAATGCACTGGGTCTCTGTCAACAATCAAGACAGCACAGGTGGTGAAGTGGGCGACTGCTCTGGCTCCTGAGCTTGGGGCCTGTGAGGTGGAGCAGGGTCCCAGGCCCTGCTCCCTGAGCTTACCAACAGGCCCAAAGCTCAGTCGTCCTGTGCCACCTTTCCTTGGGAAAGCCACGTGGCTGGTGGGAATCGGTGTCCTCTGGCTGCTGGCAGAAACAAAACCAAATCCTCCTGGAAATCTTTCTGAAGGCTTGCGAGGCTCCCACAGCTCACATCAAGTCATGAGCTCATAAAGGCAAAAAAAAAAAAAAAAAAAAAAACAAAAAAAAAAACCCCAAAAAACCACGCCATAGGGCCGGCCACTGTGAGCAGTCAACAGACCCAACTCATCACACGTACGGGAATCACCAGGTCACATGGCACAACCAGGTAAGAAATACCGGGAATTAAGGCTGTATAAGCCACACAGGGATTATCAGGAGGAGCCGGCTGTGAAAAGCAAACAGCAGACTTCGTAACTACAGATGACAGCAGCATTCCTGGAAAAATACACAGTGCAAGCCCATGACCTACATGTGTACAGACAGGATTTAAAGTACAAATTAAACAGCAGAGGAGACACAGCCAAAAGCTAGAGAGAGAGCCGGGCGGTGGTGGCGCACGCCTTTAATCCCAGCACTTGGGAGGCAGAGCCAGGCGGATCTCTGTGAGTTCGAGGCCAGCCTGGACTACCAAGTGAGTTCCAGGAAAGGCGCAAAGCTACACAGAGAAACCCTGTCTCGAAAAACCAAAAAAAAAAAAAAAAAAAGCTAGAGAGAGAATTACTAAACGAGAAGGGAGGGATGATTCAGACCAAGGTTCTCAGCGAGGCGGTGCCTATGTCCTCTCCAGGAAGGCAGCTAAGAAGATGGACATAGGACAAAATGAGCATGTCTGTGTTCCAGACACCGTCCAGGGCATCGAGGTAATGTGAGAAGAGTTTCTGCTCCATAGTGTTCCTCCCTGTGGCGGCTCACCCCTTCCCCCAGCATGGTCCACAGAATGGGTCTGCGGTGCAGGGTAGGGAAGGGGTGCGGGTGGGTTCGGGGGCTGTGAGGAGCAGCCACTTCACTACAGTGAAGGCAGCTCGCTCGTGTGACTCCCCCCAACACAACCAACACAAGAGTAGATGAATGGTTCTTCATCAGAACACAAAACTGCATCAAAGGGCAACGTTAACTAAGGATGGCTGGGGGCGGGAGAGACCGCTCAGCAGGTAAGAGCACTAGCTGCCCTTCCCAAGGTCAGGGCTTCAATTCCCAGCCTCTGTATGACTGTTCACAACCATCTATAATGTCAGTTCCAGGGGATCCGATGCCCTCTTCTGGCCTCCATAGGTACTGCATGCATGCAGTACACAGACAGACATCCAGGTAACATACCCATGCACATTAAAACAGAAAAAAAAAAAAAAAGATGACAATAAAATGAAGATAGGAAAAACTTTTACAAAATACTTATTTTACTTATTATTACTATCGATACCATCATCATCATCATCATTATTTTTGGTGTACTGGGGGTGGAAGCTAGGGCCTGCCTCATGCTTGCCAGACAAGGGTTCTATCACACAGCTGTAGCTCCAGGCTTAGCCTTTCATCTAGAACATAAAGAACTCCTGAAACTCAGTAGTAAGGAACACAACCCAACTGGAAAGCGCCCACAGAGCCAGTAAACACGAAAAGCTTCTCAGTGCCTCCAGCACTCTGGAGGCAGAGGCAAGCAGTAAGTTCAGGAGCCAGCCTGATCTACAGAGCTAGTTCCAGGACAGCCAGGGCCACACAGAGAAACCCTGTCTTCAAAACAAAACAATCAAAGCTTCTCAGGACCATGAAGCCCCAGAAGAGGGCAAATCCAAACCACAAGCTGCCCTTTGGTCCACCAGCACAGCTCTAATGAAGACATCAACAAGCATCTATGTGAGTATGGAGAACCTGAGATCTTCATACACTTGCTGGGAAGAGGACCGTGAGTTCAAGGCTAGCCTGGATTAATTGGTGAGACCCTGTCTCAAGATCCAAGGCCTAGGGATGTAACGCCATGTCAGAGCACTTGTCTAGCACACACGAAGCCCCGGGTCTCCACATTGAAATGAAGGTGTGGTGGGGCTGGAAAGATGGCAAGTAGTTAAGAGCACTGGCTGCCATTGCAGAGGCCTGGGGTTCAATACCCAACGTCTACATGGAGGCTCACACCCATCTGTAACTCTAGTTCCAGAGGATCCAACATCCTCTTCTGGCCTCCACAGACACCAGGCACAGTGTTGCACAGACATGCATGCAGGCAAAACACCCATACACAGAAAAATAATGAAGCCTTTCTCCCCTACCCCTCCAGACAGGGTTTCTCTGTGTAGCTCTGGCTGTCCTAGAACTTGCTCTGTAGACCAGGGTGGTCACAAACTCAGAGATCCACCTGCCTCTGCCTCCCAGGTGCTGGAATTAAAGGTGTGCACCACCACAGCCCAGCTTCAAAACTAAGTTTTTATTTTTATTAAAGGTTTTTTTTATATTTTTTTTTAAAGATTTATTTATTATGTATACACTGTTCCGTCTGCACATATCCCTGCAGGCCAGAAGAGGGCACCAGATTTCATTACAGATGGTTGTGAGCCACCATGTGGTTGCTGGGAATTGAACTCAGGACCTTAGGAAGAGCAAGCAGTGCTCTTAACCTCTGAGCCATCTCTCCAGCTCCAAAACTAAGTTTTTAAAGAGAAAGAAAAAAGGGTGAGGAGCAAGAAAGAGAACCTAGTCAGCAATGTGCTTGCTATGGAAGCCGGAGGACGTGCAGCCTACATAAAAAGCTGGGGCATTGAGGTGCATGCTTGTGATCCCAGAGCCTGGGAGGTGGAGACAGGATCCCCGGGGCTCACTGTCTAATCAGCCTAATCTCATGGGCAAGCTCCAAATCCTAGAGACCTTGCCCTCAAAACCAAAGGTGGTGGGTGCTTCCCATGGTACCTTTCCCACTCTCCTGAGTTCTCACTTCTCCTTAATAAATATTAATGAACCTGTGCTTACTCTGCTCAAAAAGGGAAAAAGAAAGGTAGAGTGACAGTGGGAAGATACTAAAGTCAACCCCGGGCCTCTGCATGTGCACAAGCGGGTGAGTACATCCTCATAGCCACAGGCACACACCACACACACACACCACACACACACACACCACTCTTCTACTGAGGACTATGGTTAGTGGGTAAAGCACCCGCCGTGCAAGTGTGAGGACCAGAGTTTGGATCCCCAGAACTCACATAACATGCATCTACAATCCCAGGACTCAAGGGCTGGAGAGATGGCTTAGTGGCTAAGTGTACTTACTGCTCTTTGCAGAGGACCTGGGTTCGATTCCCAGCATCCATACCAGATGCGAACATGCATATAAACACATAAATACAACCCAGCACGCCTACATCAAGATGGAAGGTGGAGACAGGAGACTACCTAGAAGCACAAGGGACCCCATCTCAAACAAGACAGAGGATGAGGATGGACGCCCAAGCCTCCACACCCACGCCATGGGACACACGCACCTGCACTAACACAGAAACACTTGCACACACAGAGATAAAGTTCTACTGATCTCATTCATAACATGGGCAAATTAGTGGGAAAACATCGCGTCTTTTCAAAAGATTCAGATAAACAATTTGGGAAAATTCAATGCCAATTTTGGATAAAATCCCTAAGGATACAGGCTTGAGACACAGTTCAATGACAGAGTGGTGGCCTAGTATCCAAGAGGTCCTGAGTTCAATTCCTCAGTACAAACAAAACCAACCCTAGGTAGAAATAGAATGAGACAGAGAAAACATTACTGCTGGAAGGGAAGAGGGAAGCATCCATTTGCAACCAGGCGTGCTGGGATGCCCCTGTAATCTTAATATTGGGAAGTGGGCAGATTAAGAGTTCGAGGTCAGCCTGGGGCTCCATGAAACCCTATCTCAAAAGAAACTAAGAGAGAAAGTAGATGGAAGCAAGCCATAAACAGAAAACCTAGAAAGACAGATCTCGGGGGGGAGGGTCTGGGGAGGTAGGGTCTTGTCATGTAGTTCTAGCTGACTAGGAACTCACTGTGTAGACCAAGCTGACATCAAACTTGCAGCAATCCTCCTGTCTCCGCCTCCAAAAGTGCTTAAGATTGCAAGCGTGACAGGACTAGTTTCGAGGAGCTGAGTTTTTCTTTTAATTTTTTTTTGATTTATTTTCTTACGTGTATGAGTGTTCTGCCTGCATGCATGTATATATGTGTGCACATGTGTACATAGTGACGGCAGAGGGTAGAAGGGGGTCAGAGTTTCTAGAACTGGAGTGAATGGATGGAGTTAGGTCCACCGTGTGGACAATGGGAACCAAACCTGAGTCTTCTGCAAGAACAAGTGTTCTGAGCCAGGCAGCGGTGGTGGCGCACGCCTTTACTCCCAGCGCTTGGGAGGCAGAGGCAGGTGGATCTCTGTGAGTTCAAGGTCAGCCTGGTCTACAGAGCAAGATCCAGGACAGCCAAGGCTACACAGAGAAACCCTGTCTCAACCCCCTTCTCCCCCCCAAAAGAGGCTGAACATTCATATCACTTTCCAGCATTTTGGCTACAACACTGAACACTCAGGGCTGGAGACAGACGCAGTGATGAAGAGCATCGGCTGTTCTTCTAGAGGACCAAGTTCAGTTCCCAGTACCGACACAGTGGCTCCCAACCATGGGTAACTAAAGTATAGCAGGGGATCTGATGCCCTCTTCTGGCCTCTGTGGACACTATCCATGTAGTACAGAGACACACAATCGGTGTAAACCAACCAACAAACAAAAGTGTTGAGTCATGTTTTCAAATACTAGGTATGGTCATTTAAGGTAATAGTTCCAACTTATAAATTTTACCGTATCAAAGTGTTTCTTTCCAAAAACTGTGTTTTATTTGAGATACTTTGGTTACATTCATTAAATAATGGCTCTCGCTCCCTCTGTTCTCTCCTGCCCCCCTATCTCTAGCTCCCTCTTTCTCTGCATATGCTTCTTCCCCAGGCCTGGCTCTTTTGTCCCCCCTCTTCCTCCTAATAAAGCTCTGAAAAAAAACAAAAACAAAAACAAAAACATGGCTCTCTAAAGAACCTCGGATCAGCTTCAGCTTCTGGGCAGCTACAGTATGGGATCTGTGCCCTCCTCCACAAACAATGCTGCTCCCACACCAACAAACCCCAACTGGTTTGAGATGGAGCCTAGAGGCGGGGACCACAAAAACTTCAATCACAGGCCTCCTCCTGTGACTGGGCTTCTGGATCCCTCTTTCCTCCTCCTTATTATTCTTATGTTTGTACCCTGTCTCTTAAATGTTGTATTTACTACACTTCGCCCTATACCCAAACAAAATGCTCCGCATGAGTTCTCCAAATAGTTCTCACCCTACAAACAGCTCCATTGGACCCAAAACATCTGCAAAAAGGCCTCTTAGCCGGGCGGTGGTGGCACACACCTTTAATCCCAGCACTCGGGAGGCAGAGCCAGGAGGATCTCTGTGAGTTCGAGGCCAGCCTGGGCTACCAAGTGAGTTCCAGGAAAGGCGCAAAGCTACACAGAGAAACCCTGTCTCGAAAAACCAAAAAAAAAAAAGGGCCTCTTAGACGCCATGGAGACACTCTGGCTACAAGGGACCTTCATCCCTTTAACCCCAGCCAGACATCCGTCCCATTTTTCCCTCCTTCCTTTGATGCAATAGTCTTGGCAATGGGACCAGTCACTGTCACCTTGAATCAACTCTATGCCCACTTTCTCTCACAGACCCACTCCATCCCCCCCCCAGCTCCCCCCTCCCCCAACTTTCCCAGAAAATCTCTCCGTCCTACTCTGTAACCAAACCGTCTGCTTACAGCCCTCTAATAATTATTTTCCAAGTCTTTTCAGGAATATAGGACAACTGCCCGAACCATTGAAGCTGACGATCAAGTTTCCCTGCTGCCACATGCCCAAAGGACCCCTCTTCATGGACCGCCCCCTGACAAATTGTCCCTCTTCAGCAGAAAACAACTATAACATCCCTGCCCTTCATTTATTATTTCTTTTATTTTTTAATTTTTTTTTTTCTGTCTCACTTTGTAGCACTGGCTGTCCTGGATCTCGCTCTATAGACCAGGCTGGCCTCAAACTCACAGAGATCCTCCTGTCTCTGCCTCTCAAGTGCTGGGATTAAAGACGTGCGCCACCACTATCTGGCCAACATTCTTTATATCCTCTCAGAGTTAGGAATGATAGTTTCCTGCTGAAAAGACTACATTTCCCAGCTTCCCGTGAGGACTGCTAAAGTCATTTTCATGACTCCATGAGGGGCCACATCCCATCTTCTGGAGGCATTTTGGCCATCTGCACATGAGGTGACAAAGATGCCCTCTTGCCGTGAATAAACATGACTGCCTAAGACCAGACCAAGTCTCTCTCTCCCCTCTCTAGGGGGACCCTTCGATAATCTAACGACAGCAAGCATCTACTCACCTGTGGACTTTGATGCATAGATCTAAGGCTGCAATATAGAGTTCAGTGGTAGAGCGCTTGACTACTTTGTGCAAAGCCCTGGGTTTGATCCTTACCACCACCACACCAGGCTAAGTGACAGTCAGTGCCAAGACCCACACAGAAACATGAGCATATGGACACACACAACTGGACTCACACAGGGTTCACATAGTTCTTACAAGAGCCTTGACTCTTCCTCCCCCCGGGGGGAGGACAGGGGAGGACGTTCCTATGGTGTATTGGACCAGTGCGGAACAACAAGTCTTTATGGACAACCAGAAACTGATAGGTCGGGGCTGGAGAGATGGCTCTGAGGTTAAGAGCACTGACTATTCTTCCAAAGGACCTGGGTTCAATTCCCAGCACCCACATGGCAGCTCACAACCTGTCTGTAACTCCAGTTCCAGGGGATCTGACCTTCTCACACAGACATACATGCAGGCAAAACACTAATGTTTGTAAAATAAAAATATATAAAATAAAATAAGAAACTGATGGGTCTCCCATAGAACAGCCCCTCCACCCCATGCTCCCCAGACACTGACCTAGCTCCTCACTTACCTGACTCCCGAGTTATAATTTTCCGTGGGATCAGCTTCCTGATCTAGATAAAAAAGAAATATGAGAATCCAAGAACAAGTCCCAAAACTTCTAGGTCCAGCCTCATTTAGGGGTGACCCTCTAGCTGAGTTCAAGGAGTTCCATAATGTATTGTTCTGTTTTTTTCTTTTGTTTGTGTGTATAATGTGTGCACTATTGTGTAGGCAAGAGGTTGAGATAGGGAATCTTGATCCCTCTTCTACTTAATTCTTTTTTTTTTTTTCTCCCCCAAAACAGGGTTTCTCTTTGTAGCTCTGGCTGTCCTGGAACTCTGTAGACCAGGCTGGCCTGGAGATCTGCCTGTCTCTGTCTCCCATGCACTGGGATTAAAGATGTGTGTGACCACCACCACCACCACCACCACCACCACCCACAAAAATAGAGAGAAAGAAAAAACAAAGATGTGTGTGCCTAATTTTTTAAAATATTTATTTATTTATTACATATTTACGTATACAGTATTCTGCCTGCATGTGTGCCTACATGCCAGAAGAGGGCGCCAGATGTCATTATAGATGGTTGTGAGTTACCATGTAGTTGTTGGGAATTGAACTCAGAACCTTTGGAAGAGCAGCCAGTGCTCTTAACCTCTAAGCCATCTCTCCAGCCCTCTGCCTAATTCTTTAGGGCAGAATCTCCCAATCAAATGCAGAGCTCACCAATATGGTTTGCTCTGCCTTACTACCTTCCTGAGGCTGGAAACACAGAGGTGCTGCCATGCCCATTTGCCATTTCCATGGGTTCTGAGGGATCTGAACAAACACTTAAGCCTGAGCCACATCTCTTGAGCTTATCCCTAGATGTTTTTAGAGAGTTCTGCGTCCCTTTAGTGATCCAGCAAATGCCATGATCCCCGACTTTTCTTTTTCCTATTTTTTTAAATCTTTTTTTTTTTTTTTTTTTTGGTTTTGAGACAGGGTTTCTCTGTGTAGTTTTGGTGCCTGTCCTGGATCTCGCTCTGTAGACCAGGCTGGCCTCGAACTCACAGAGATTCGCTTGGCTCTGCCTCCCGAGTGCCGGAATGAAAGGCGTGTGCCACCGCCGCCTGGCCTTTTTCCTATTTTTTGAGTCAGGGTTTCTCTGTGTAGCCCTGGCTGTCCTGAACTTGCTCTATAGACCAGGCTGGCCTCCTATTCAGGAATCCGCTTGTCTCTACCTCCCCAATGCTGGGACTAAAGGGGTGCACCACCGTACCCTGTTTCCTGACTTTTTTAAAAACTAGCCTTCTCTCTGCCCTGCCAGTGTCTGGTTCATACTCACTGGGGGTGGTGGTAGTACAAAGTTGTCTGGAAACACTCCTCTTCGGCCTTGGCACTCGCCTTCCCACCAACCCTTATCCTCTGTTGTCTGGTTGAGAAACAAGCCAGTAGGGAGATGAGCCTCATTCAAGTCCTTCTTGCCTGGGTCCCCCTCCGTACCCTTCTGTACCCCCCAATCCTCACACCTTTCTCAGAACTTTCACCAGGTCCCCCTTGTGCAGCGCCAGCTCATCCGGGGCCTCAGGCTGGTAGTCAAACAGGACCCTGCAGGTCTCAGGGCAGGGGACTGAGAGAAGGACATTCTACTGTGGAGCCTCCTCCCCCATCAGCCAGTGGCTCCCTCCAACTACCTACCTGATTCCCCTCCCACAAGGCAGGGTGTGGCCTGGCACCGTGGGAGGGGATCTGGCTAGCCGCTCACCTGTCCGCAGGTAGTCTGGAGGGCTGTCATAAGTCAAGCTGCTCAGCTAGGAGAGGCAGAACAAAGGAAGACTGAGATGAGCCTGGAGCCATTTTAAGAACTCCCTGGCTGTGTCCACCCTGACCCACTTTACCTTAGGAGGCCTTGGTGGATTAGGGATGATTGAAGGCATGTCTGTGTTTCCAAGGCCTGGAGAGGGACAATGAGGTTAGGGAGGGGCTAATATTTAGCTAGGTCCCGGGAGGGAGAGGGCCAAAGGGGTCAGCAGGGTCAGGAAGGTCACTGGGAAGATCACTGAAGATTGCAGAGTCTGGTCCCAGGGGATCACAGGGTCACGGTCTCACTTGGGGGCCCACTGTCCAGCAATTCCACAAAGTTGGATGGGAAGGCTCCCAACTGCCCGTTCTTCTTCCCCAGCCACCAGCCGTCCTCAATCTGGGGAGGGGGAAGGATGTGGGAGCATCTGGTTCTGTCCCAGAGTCACTGAAAGGATCAACTTCTGCCCAGCTGCCTCCCTTCCCATCGCCCCCACCCTCCCGTCACTCTCCTCCGTTTGTGAAGAGCTCTAGCATTTCTCCAGGTCCTCTCACCATCGCACCCCCTCACCTCCTTTATCACTTCCACAATCTCCCCAATTTGAAGCTTCAGCTCGTCTGCCTGCTCTGGATTGTAGTTGAAGTTCACTTTGCACCATCTTTGGGGGCCCCGAGAGTTGATGGATTGACCTAGGCCAGACAAGCAGGGGAGCAGCTGGAGCAGGTGGCCCTGTCCACTGGGGAAGGGGCGGGCCCTCCGCGCACGCCCTTTAGTAGCTTCAAGCCCCGCCCTTTAGCGGCCGGAGCATTGTACTTGGAGCCAATCAGGGGGCCGCCCAGTAGCTCCGCGGCCCCTCCCACAGTCGTCACGCCCCACGCGGGCAGTGATTCCCCCCCACACCAACCAGCCCCAGCCCGACTCACCGCGGCGGCGCGCATAGCGCGGTCTGGGCTCAGTGATGCCCCGCAGGGCCTCGGGAATCTCCTGGGAAGATCGCATGGGGGCGGCATTCAGCTGGAGGCCCGGGGCTGGACCGGGCCCGCTCCCCGCTCCGCCTCGCCCGCACCAGGCCTCACCTGCACCAGGCTCTTGGGAAAGACACCGCGGTGGCCCCGCAGCTCCCCATGCAGCCAGCCCCGGGCAGCCCCTGCGCGAACCTGCCGGACCACGTCCCCCGGCGCCAGGCTCAGCTCGTCCTGCGTCTGCGCACGGTATCTGGCCAGGACCAGGACCTCTGCGGGCGGAGGGCTGGCTAAGAAAGGCTGGGGGAACGTCCCTGGACGTTCAGAAGAGCCACCCCGAGACCCGCACACATACCCATGACTTCTGGGGACCCCTGCACAGCCTGTGAGGCTGGCGGTTGAGTATTGGGAGCTTGGAGGGCGGGCCGCGCCGCCGGGCGGTAGACTGGATGAGGCGGGGACTCAAGTCATAGGTCAGGATCCAGGTGCTAGGAGTGGGCGGCCTGGCTCAGCAGGTTGGGCCCCAGTTCAGACCGAGTCGTCGTCCAGGGTCTCAGCCCAATGCGAGGTTGACAACTCCTCCTAAGGGCTCTTCCGCGACTACTAAATTCTACTTTGGCCACGTCTTTTATACATTTCCCGGCCCACCCTCTACTGGCTTGCAAGTTCTTAGCTGCAGGGGAAGGTGGGGATAGGTACATACCAGGGCGGGGCTATTCCAGAGAAAGCGCCCCAGAAGTAGAAAGTGGTAGCTATGGCCGGTGTATTCCAAACTTCAGAACCCCCCTGGTGGAGCCTTGATTTATTTGAGCCTGGTTGGGTTTCTGACAGTCGTTACAGATTCTCCTTTAGCGAAGGCAGGAAGAACCAAGTCTAGTCAAGCCCAGGGCTGGCAAGAGTCTGAAGGTGAGGGCTCACTCACCAAGGGGCCAGGCTCACCTGTAAATAATCTTCCCGCTGGGTGAATATACAGCGGCCATTTCACTGCAACCTTGACCCCTGCCTCAACAGGAAGGAAGCCAAAGTCCTTGCTCCTTGCACTACAGGGAAGTTTGGTTCTTGGTTATTAAAAGCAGAGAATGCAGGGACTCCTCTGAGAACAAGAGGCGCTTCTCCCCGGGAAAGAAGAGCGGACTGTAGGTTTCCTGAAACTCGTGTGGGAGGTCCCTGCCACCCCAGGGCGGCTCATGCAGGCATGAGGACGACAACGAACACAGTCTATCCACATTGGTCACGTCATTTATTTATTGTTTTTATTTGCAGGAGGAGTTGAAACAAAAACTTAAGGGTGTTTTTCTTTTCTTCCCTAAACATGAATCATTCAAGTAAAACCAACTTAACTATAGAAATTAGCAAAGTAAGGGGAAGTAGTAACAACCCACGAGCAAAGGCTGGGGGAAGAGGAGGTGCAGTCGGCATAGACCACGTGCACAGAGACCATATGCACCGAGACCGTATGCTGTGTTTACCTGCTCGGGACCGCCTCCCTGGCAGGCAAGCACAAGGACCCTTTTATGAGGATGTTCCCCCTCAAACATCTGAAAGTGTTTCAACTCAAAACTTAAGGTTAAAACAAACAAACAAACCAAAAACACACAACCCCACAAACCACCCAGCCATAACCACCATCCTTAATCGATCATAGGAGTTTCTTTTCATTTTATAAAAAGATCAATAAAAAATATTGAAAAAATTCTTTTCTCATCTTATATTTGTAAAGATAATAGAATTCAGAAGTTTCTTAGAAAACAGACCAGAAACTGCCCTCCAGTTTCCCTCCCTTTGCTGAGGACCAGCAGGACTACAAAGTGGAGGATAGTGGCTGCTGGTGGAAAATGGGAAGCCCAGCCCAGGAGAAATCAGACAAGAGCAGGGTGCAAGGGGAGGCTGGGAGCAACTCCACATGACACATGGCTGTGCAGAAAGGGGAACGCAAGGTGGTCAGAAAGGCCTTAAACTCCTCCGTGACATACAAAACCGGTTTCTACAAAGATCCAAGCAGTTTGGTCCCAAACTGAGGCAAACACTTCAATGTTTATTCACATGCTTTGTTTTGTCTTAAGAATCAAAGTTGCCCAAATTAAATCTTTCTGCTAATATTACTACATATGCCTTAAAAAGAAAGAAAAAAGGAAAGAAAAAATATAAGGGATTTTTAAAAATCAGGACAGGAAAAGACTGAAAACCAAGTTCATCCTCTTAGCTCCAAATGAAATGAAATTAAGAAAACTTGGTTTCTAATAGGGAAAAAACAAAACAAAACAAAAAAACCCAAATCCAAGCATCAGCATCATTCTCCCTACCCTGCCCCCACCCCACACACCAACAACAAACAAGAAACGGCAGGAGCCCACTATTGTGGGCCACTCAAAACATGGGCCTGATCCTAGGCTGTGGCCAGCATCCTCTGTCCAGTGGGACAACACCAGGGATGTGTACTCTGCTGTCGTAGGGTTCTGTGTGGCTGGTGGGTTGTGGGGTGGGATTTGCAGGATCTTCTGGAGGCTCCCTGTTTAACTCCACCAGCCTCTCCCAGCGCCTTTCTCCCCTGGGCAAGGGCTCCATCGAGAGTGGCCCCTACTCAGCTGTGGGCTGTAAACTGTCCTTCTCTTCTCGGTTCTCTGTCCCACTCTCATCATCTTCAATTTCTCCTTCCTCCCCACTGAACTTGTCGTGGGCCCACTTGGGGCTGGTACTGGATTTCCGGAACATGAACCGACCCCGACCCCGGGGGAAGGCTCCTCGGCCACGGCCACGGCTCACCCACTTGTCACTGCCTTCACCTTCCCGGTCATCATGCTGCGAGGAAAGAGACGTCATCAGTGCCACTGCTCTTTCTGTGCCCTCCACACAGGCCAGAGCCTGTGCCCAGCCTCCTTTTCTGCCCTTCGCCCACTCTCCTACTCCAGAACTGCCAGAGACTCAGATCCAAGAGCACCGCTGGGTACCTAAGGAACTCTAAGGCAATAGTGTGGACATTACAACCAAGTGTTAAGAGTAACAGAAAACCTTGACAAAGCATCGAGACAGGTGTCAGCTCACTGAACTCTCCTGTCCACCCCGCCACTATCATTATCGTGTAATTGAAACTAGTTTAGAACACTTTCTCTGCTTTTTAAAAATAATTTACTATTTTAAATTTTATATGCATCAATCAGTGTTTTAAGCCTGCATGTATGTCTGTGTGTCAGTCAGATCCACTGGAACTGGAGTTACAGAAAGCTGTGAGCTGCCATGTGGGTGCTGGGAATTGAACCCGGATCCTCTGGAAGGGCAGCCAGTGTTCTTTCTTTCTTTTTCTTTTTTTTCCCCCAGTTTTTCGAGACAGGGTTTCTCCGTGTAGTTTTGGTGCCTGTCCTGGATCTCGCTCTGTAGACTAGGCTGGCCTCGAACTCACAGAGATCCGCCTGGCTCTGCCTCCAGCATGCTGGGATTAAAGGTGTGCGCCACCACCGCCCAGCCAATGTTCTTAACCACTGTACCATCTCTCCAGCTCTAGAACACCATTTCTCAAAGGAAGAATCTACCAAGTCAATCATACTAACATGTGAAATGGAACTGGGCCATTAGACAAGGAACAGCACACAAAAGCCACAGCTGGGGCTCCAGTACTTTCCACCACTCCCACCCTAGGCTGCCCTCTTGTAGGGCACCCCCTCTTCACTAGTATGAAGGAGGCAGTGTCACAGGACAACCTACATCTTGACAATCCCTGTTCTGACATCTTGGTGGAAAGTGAAGCAGCTTCTGTCTCATGCTTAGACTCTAATCACTCCACAGTTTCAGCAATCCACTCACAGAAGCCATTCTAAGCCAGTCTTAGGCTCCTGGAGGTCAGTTCAGCTGACTGCCAGCTGCGCCTGTCCAAGACTGCAGTGCCACAAGGACCACATCAGCTTGGCAGTGCTCCTTCCCTCCAGTGGCAAACAGAAGCAGGGAAGGGCCTTTCCTTTCACAGCAATCCCACACCTATTCAGGCCCTCTAGAAGCTTCAAACTGGCTTCCAACAATTAGGCACAACCCCCAGGAATTACATGGGCTTGGATACAGGCCTGCTGAATCACAGCAAGGCCAACAGAGTTACTGACTAGGCAACAGCCCAGCATGGGAACGATCCACAACACAGGTAAGAGAAAAACCCTCAGCGGCACTTCATTATGGTAACAGAACTTTCTTTCCTCCAACAGTTCTAGAGCTGTTTTTCCTGTCAATCCAGTAGTAAAGGTTGACAAGAGGCTGGGAGGGAGTGAGGAGTCAAAGTTCACAGGACAAGAAAGGCAACAGTAATATTCTTGTTTCTTCTGGAATCCAAAAACAGCTCAGAAGATAAACTGACTTATCCCTCCAGAGAAGAGCCATCTAGCTAGCACTATAGTAACACATTCACAGTGCTCTAAGCCTGTACACAAATTAGCAAGGTCAGACAGACCAATTAAAGCCTTCAAATCAGCTACTGTGTGCCAAAGGCTCTCTCTTGGCCCTTCCTGGTTAGTCCCAGACACATACCAAGTAATACTTCTTGCTTTTGGGTGTGTACTCTGGATCCCATTCCTCTTCCCGGTTTCTCTTTTGAAAATCATTGTTGCTGTTGTTGTTATTGTTACCAGAATAGTTTCCTCTGCCCCAACCTCTCCCTCTTGCTCGAAATTGCTGTAGAAATAAAGGAAGCAAAAGGAACAAGTCCATGTTAGCAGCAGAAAATCCCCTGCCTTCTGTTCAAACAGTTCAACTAGTTTCTACCCATTTCTTTCCTAGATAGTTCAGGGGGTACATACACATGGCCAGAGAGAGGGACTTCCTTCAAGCAAGATCAAGGTAATGGGGGAAGTTCTAGGATGGGAAGCTATAAAAGGCTTGGGTGTGATTATAAACAAAGAAACAAGTGAACATAGAAGCTTAGGGACCCAAAGAATCAACAACTGGCTTGCTTAGACCAGAGGCAAAAACTGATATCCTACTGATGTTCAGTCAGGACTAGAAGGAGCCAGAGGCTTAGAGAAAGAGGGAGGGAGGCCCTTACAAAGGTTCCCCGAGCTCTGCCGCCTCTTTCATTTGGACCCACGAAGTCTTTGGTCCCCAGCCTGGATTTGTCAAAACCTGTGGTGCTCTCCCCCCTCTCCTCTGCCTCCTCGGGGTACTCCTCTGCTTTGTAGGAGAGAGACGACTGGGAAGAGGAGGAGGAGGACCTCGACCGATCTCTTGCTCTGCGGTGCTTCCTACATGGAGAA